AAGAAAATCTCTCGAGATGTCAAGTCGGCCAGTGTAGAACGACAAACTGACACCTACTACATCCCCGACTTGGTCCGAGCTGAAGCTGAACAAGAACTCTCCGAGAGAGTCGGGCCTGGCGATTGATAGGCTAGCAGCCCCCAGTTCGATCATACCTTGGGAGACAATCGTTGCTATCGTCACGTTGGAACTGTTTGCAAGAAATCCAACGACGTCAACGTTATGAATCTCCACCTCGATTCTAGTCATCGCTGGGATCACTTTGACCTTCCTCCTTACCACATGCAGTACCCCCTCCTCCAGCAGCGAACAGGACCCCCCCGCTTCGTACACCACGTTCGAGTTCGGCAAAGTTCCCACTTTGACAGAAGAAGAGACAACTTTCCCCACCTGCACGAATGGAGGAAGAACAACCTTGAAGGAGCCGTCAGCTGGGATCAAGTTGAGGTTGCGGAAGGAAAACTTGAGAGGCCCGTGATAGCCGTTGACCAAGCTGGAGGGTGTGACGAGCAACCCCAGCAGAGAGGACGGAGACGACGAGACTACAAAGCTCACACTGTCGAGCAGAAAAAAACCAGCTTGACTGAAGTCAATCGAGCTTAACCTGAGCTTGAACTGCCCCGCAAAATTGGGGTTGACCAGGCCCGAGATTTTCAAGCTGACCTCCTGCTGAGGAGGCACATCGAAAGCGCTTCGGACTCGTCGCAGCAGTACCGTGCTGTTGGGCTCCAAGTCGACATCTCCATCCATCCCGGATATGACGGTAGCATGCGACTGATCGAGCGTCGCAAACTCAGGCGGCAGCTCAAGCTCGAAGCCTCCCCCTTCCGCTAAAACCTTGCTCTGAAATCTGACGCGCACGACGAGCTCGGACGTCGCTCCTGCATGGCTGGGGATCAGCTGGGCAGAGAGGAGCGACGCCTGTCCTGGAAGGATGTCGATGCCTGGGAGCGAAGACTGCAAGCGCAAGAGTCCCTGATGCTCCTCCGCCTTCACTTCAATGGCTTGACTAAGTCCAGCTCGGGTCGGAAGCAGCACGATTGAGACGTTGATGACATCAGAAGAAGAGACAGACTCAGCAGAAGGAAGCAATGTCAGTCTCCTGCCGTCCCCAGAGGCCTCGCCGAAGGCAAAACTAGAGCAGCAATCAGGAGGAGCCATGAGGGAGGGAGGCAGAGTGATGGAGATATTGCAGGAAGAGAGGTTGCGAGCTCGAATTAAGAATCGGAATCTCGCCGACTGATTCACTCTGATCTCACTCTCAGGAATGAGTTTTGCATATGCGAGATGCTCCTCCCTCAGCGCGACACCAGCAACCACATGCTGGGCATCGATCGAGGTGCCGTCTTCCATGAACGTCGAGATGTCGAACGAGTCCAGCTCCACCCCCTTGAACGGTTCCTTCTTCAAGTTTGTCACAATAAATGAGATTGAAAGGTCGGGAGGGATGCGATCGCCCAACACCTTGAGGACGAGGAAGCAGCCCCCCGAGCACACCCCATTTGCATCCTGAGGGTAGAAGTCGTCCACCAGCAGCTCTGCCGACATCCCTCTTGTGTTTCCACTGCAGGTCGGTTGATACAGCTGGACGTCAGCTGGGAATTTGATCATAATCAGCCCGTTCTGCGGGACCTCGTTGGACAGTCGCAAGCGCATGGAGGCAGAGGAGCGGAATCCTTTCTCGGCTACCATGATCTCCATGTCCGCCTCGGGGATTGGTCCAGCTGTGATGGAAGAGAAGTTGAAGAGTTCACTAGCATCGATCTCCTGTTCGAGGCCCGTCAGGGTCCGAACGGTCAAGGCCAGCAAGGGCCCAGCATGAGGTGGGAGAACAACGCCGGGAACAAGCAAATGCAAAGTTCTCCCTCCAGCGAGTCCCTCCAGCTTGTCAAGGCCAAGGAGGGAAACCACAGCTCGGCTCGTGCTCGAGGTGACCAGGAGCTGCTTAAAGAAGATGTTGACGCCAGAAGTGTTGACACAGACGTCAGACCGTTGCAGCTGGGGGACGATCCCAACGCCCTCAGGCATCTCCAGCCTGATGCTTCCTCCAGCTGGTAGAGGGTTGGTGAGCTCGAGGCTGAGCTGGAGGGAAGCGACTGCCCCCGCAACGTTGGGCGTCAGAATTGCATCGAGGTTGTTGAGGACGTTCGAAACGACCTGCAGCGTCTGAGAGAAGCAGTCGACTGGACGGCTGGTGGAGCTCCAGTGGTAGGACGTGCAAACATGCAGGCTGACAGTCTCGATGAAGGGAGAGAGCTTGACTGCCGACATCAGCACTGACAAGCTCTCGGCAGGCTCAAGAGTCCGGGTGCCCGTGGGGACAAGTCGGATAGAATTCTGACCGGCGAGGAGCAAAGAGAAGTTAGAGGGGTTGCTGGAGGAGAGCTCCAAGATTGAAATGTTGAAATTTGGCGGGAAAGTGATGTCGATGCTGCCGTTGCAAGGAATGGGGTTGAAGAGAGTCATGTTGAGCGCTACCTCAGTTGTGTCTCCTGCTCTGAGACTGCCGAAAGTGAAGAAGGATTCGTTCAGCACGTGCCTGCCCACCAAGATCGAATGACCCACTGAGGAAGATACAACGAGGTCGGTGAGTTCCGTCGAGCGGTAGAAGAAGACGTCAAGCTGGTATGACCCTGAGATGGGAGGCAGTCTGGTGTCTTGAAATAGCACGTCAAACTCCAAGATCTCGATCAAATTCTTGCACCTCTTGGTGATTGGACAGATTTCGCACCCTGTCAGATCCTCCCAGGACTGCAAGAGCGAGAGGTTGTGGAAAGTCACCACTGAGTCCTGCACTGAGACGAGCCCGGGGCTCACCAGCATGTCTGCCCGTCTGACTGCAATCATGCTGACGTCAACTTGCGCCTCCACTGGGAAAGTCACGACGAGAGCAACGGGGAAGGGATGCGAGCGGCTTATCCGCAGATGCAGCCCAACTGTTAGGGGTTACGTAAGCGGTTACGAATACTTCAGTCAACTAGCTGTCTTATCCGGTCGGTTTGGTTGGTTTGGTAGGTTTTGGTCGAATAAAATGGATCCGAACTTTCTATACGTTCAGTGAGCGCGATTGTGTTGAGGTTCCTGTTCGCTTGTTAACGCAAGTTATCAAGTTGGTTCAAGTTCACAGAGTCAAAGCACATCATCAGGATTGTCAATCCCTAACATTGGTAGCGTAAGGTTTGGTTTTTGTTCGAAGTAATTGCGGATTGCGACAATTTGATTTGATTTGATCGACAAGGAGCTTGAAAGGTAACCTCTGGATATGCAATCGGATGTAGAAAGGATAAGAAGGTCTCCTGGAGATGGTCCTCTTGGAAGTTCAGGCTTGGCAGTCATGCTTGACAACTTTAGAAGGAGTTTCGATGAGGAAACGTCTGAAGACAAGACGATGAGGGAAGTTACGACGGTACCTTCTACCTCAGAAGAGGATTCGAACGGAAATCAGCGAGACGTCGCGGGATTTTCGAGGATTAATATACCTTCTTATGATGGATCGGTCACGCAACAAGTGCGCGACAGGGAGGGCGCAGTGGACTTGGAAATTTCCAGGATTGCGTCTCCGGCAGGTTCGACCCGGCCGAGGTTCGAATCAGTGCAGTTTGAAGAATTGGTCGCTGCAAACAAGAAGTTGCGAGAAGAATTGCAACTCGCAATGGACATGCAAGTAAAGTATGAAGCTTTCGTCAAGGAAGTGATGTTTCGTAAGGAAAGAGAGCTCGTCGAGACAAAACAGGAAATCTCTGTCCTTAGGGAAGAAAATAAAAAAAATGTTCGAGGAAATGATGCAACGGTTCAGATTAAATGAATCAGGAGCAGTTCAATACCTTCCGATCAAGGAACCAAGAGGGGCTGATGCAACGTGCAAGCAAAATGATACGAGCATGTCGAATGACATGTCAAGTCAGCATGTCAAGCAGCAGTCTTCCCTTGTGAAGTTTCATTCCAAGGATATTTCTCGATTTAATGGAGAAATGACTCTAGAATATTCCGTTGCAAGTTGGTTTGGGGAGCTTGAGTTTCAATTCCAGCGTCAAAGAATTCCTCCAGATCAAAAGGTTGACATCGCTGCAACATTAGTTGGTAATCGTGTGAGGAATTGGTTGCAAACATTGCGTGGCGAGGATAGATTAATTTCCACACAAGGTACTTGGGAATCATTCAAATCGTTGCTGGTGAAGGAATATTTGTCGTTGTCGCACTTGCAGTATATTCTGGGTGAGATTCAACGTACGATACAAGGGTCAGAGGAAAAGACTTCGGATTTTGTCAACAGGTTTTCAGCTTTAGCAAATCATTTTATTGCTTGTTGCATGGTATTATTTCATGGACAAGGACAAGTCGAGACAGCTTGCACGAGGTTTGGTCTTGAACGGTATTTCGCACAGAATTTGTTCGATGAGGTGACCGCGAGTTTCGTCATGAAGTTGTTGATTGACTTGGAAAAGCAAAATGTGAACAAGACTTTGAGTATTGGGAGTTTGTTGCCAGCATTGTATCGAGAAGCTAAGTCCATGGATTTGACAACCGATGCGTATAGGAATGACAGGTCAACGCATCATGAGGTTTCGTACGATGATGAGTCAGTGGAGGATACCGACGAAGATTCTCAGCATTCATCTTCGACTCAGGATGAGCAGGACTTACGTGAATAACATTGGCCCAATGCACTTCGCGCTACTCAATTGAAATGACTTGAGTTGGCTGCCGTTTTCTTGTTATGCAGTATTTTAATGATCAGCGAAGTTCATAGAGATGTTTCTCAGATGATAATGCGCTTGGGAGCGTATGTTAGGGGTTACGTAAGCGGTTACGAATACTTCAGTCAACTAGCTGTCTTATCCGGTCGGTTTGGTTGGTTTGGTAGGTTTTGGTCGAATAAAATGGATCCGAACTTTCTATACGTTCAGTGAGCGCGATTGTGTTGAGGTTCCTGTTCGCTTGTTAACGCAAGTTATCAAGTTGGTTCAAGTTCACAGAGTCAAAGCACATCATCAGGATTGTCAATCCCTAACACCAACCGTCCTGGTATCCCCAGCCGAAGCGTTGGTAACCTGGAAGCTAGCTTCCATGCTCAGTAGGCCTCTAGTAGAAGGAGACTGCTCGCTCGCGTGGGGGTCGACAGGCACGAAGTTGTCGAGGGAGGAAGACTGGAAGTTGGTGAAGCGAGAAGGACAAAGTTGATCGTAAACAATGTCAACGAGCATCAGCCGGTCCAGACCCGCGAAACGACCAGCGAGCAGCGAAACATGGACGTCCATCAAGACTGACAGGAAGCTCGTGACGCCTTCACCTCTTGGCACGTCGAGCAGCGTCAAGGAGGCCGTTGGACCCGCCAGACTTACCTGAACCTCAAAAGAGCTGGTGATGTTGTTGACTGAGACGTTGCCAATGGTGACGTTGTCAAGTCGGATCACAACCTTGGTTCCGATCGGAATCGTCTGGTTGAACTTGAGGTCAACCTGCAAACTGGCATGGGCAGAGTTGCCCACGAGCGGACGGGAAACAGGTCGCTGACAAGCGTCCAAAGTTCCTTTGTGGCTCAAAGAGAAGTTGCCCTGCACAACAGCGGGAGGAAGGAGCAGAGCATCGAAAACAACCTTCAGCCTGGTGTTGAGCTGGTGGTTGTCGAAGGAGATTGCGAATTGAAAGGAATCCTGACATGACTCCTTCTGAAGGTACCTCAGGTCTAGCTGAAACCATGAATCAGCCTCGATGGAACCTAAGAAAGTGCACTGCAAGCTGAGGAGCTGGGAAGAGACGTTGGAACTTTGACAAGTCTGCGGTTGACCGTCGATGTGAAGAACGACCTCGGTCTGTCCGAGGAACAAGAGCGGGCTGAGAGACTCTATGAGGATGATGGAGGATGGCTGGACTGGTTGGCTGATGCGCCCGCTAACGTGAGCATGGATGAGCGAGGGCTCCATGGCTGGAGTGAGAGCAGCTGAGACGTTGATGCAGCAACTCTCTTCCATCTGCAGCTGCACATCCTGACAGAGAACAGCTTCTGAGCCGCAAGAGAGAGATGGAAGAACTTCTGTCATGAGCTGTCGACCTTCCAGTCTAGGGTCGAAGTTTGTAAAGTTGTACACATTCATCATGACAGCAGTGTCGCCGTCGCAAGGGATCTGTGTCAAGCTCCAGTCACTCTGTGAGGAGTTCCCAGGGTAACGAACTCGCAGCGACTGATTGCCGCAGCATCGACTCAACTTGCAGGCATCGATCAATAGGGAGAAATTGTTCCGAGCAAAAGGCAAGAGGATGCTAGGAGAAGTTTCGAAACAGTTCTGATGCAGGAATGGCCCGGAAACGCTCAGGTTCCAAGACACTATCCCATCCACTGACGTTTTGCTGTACGTGTGCTCATGCAGAATGACTTGAAAGTCTCCAGCATATCCAGTGCACAGACTGTTACGGATGTCAAACAATGCGAACGAGAAGGGAAGGTCGGACTGAATGTCCTTTGACACCTTGAGGCTGACGTGACCATCGTTAGCCTCAACCAGCTCTAAGGCATTTGTGTTGTTGGCGAAAGCCCCTCGAGCATTGAAACCAGTAGGAAAGTAGATCGAGAACGTCTCGTTAGCTCTCAGATCAGGTTTGGTGATTGTAACCCACATAGAACCCGTCTCGTTCACTATAGGATTGTCAAAATGCAACTGACATGTCAAATTCCGCGGCCAAACCCTCAGCTCCCCACTTGACCTGCCCCGTCCAACGATCTTAGAAGTCTGATCAAAGATGGTGAAAGAAAAAGGATCAAGAAGTTGCGAGCTCCTGGGATTCAGAAAGCCACATACGGCAAAGGAAAGATTGAAAGGTCTCAGATCACTGTACCTCTTGACGTAGTTGATCTCTATCGCAAAACTTCTGGGAGATGACAAGTTGGAGGAAGGAGTCATGGAGCAATTATCGTCCATCATCATGTTTGAACAAGAGATATTCTTTGCACCAGTTTCGGTTCCGTCCACATTCGCAGTAAAGAAGAGATTCGAATCCGACAGACATAGATCCGATAGTTCCAACAGCCTGAACCAGAAAAACTGTAAACCGACAGGAAATTCGAGCCGAATTTTCGAAACGACGAACAAATCTTTCAGAAAGAATGAAAACTTGGTCTCTGAGTCCACCAATAAGTTCGACCAGCGAGTAGAAACGTTGTATGTTCGAGTTGCCAGCGAAGCACTTTCTACTCTAGAACCGAAACATCCCAGATTCGGGTAGCATGCAAAGACCCTAAAAAAATACTGTTTGCCTAACTTGAGATTGCAGCTCACGACACCGTCCAGGTTGCTGCCGTAAGAGTTCCCAAAGAACATATGAAAAGTTGCGTTGGATAGGTTATATTGCCTGATGAAACCACCCGACGAAACGCCCTTGCTGTCCAAGAAGGTTTTCGGGTCGTAGGATACAATGAATGAATTTGGATCGAATTTACAGTAAGTGTCGTTTGTTGAAACATTACAAGAGTCCAGGATAGCTTGATTGGGAGAGATAGAATTACATAGACTTGAATTGCACACCGTGTCGTTGAAAGAATATAAATTTTGTTTGCACATTTCGCGGAAGTTTTGAATCTCCTTGGATGACGAGCATCCATGGAGAAGGTGCGATTCTCCCTGTCGTGATACGCTCTGAATGCTCACACAGGAATCTCCAGCGGGACATATTTCAACCCCGCACGTGCGACATCCCTCCGGAAGGAAAATTCCTCTGGTCGTGTAACATCTCAACGCGAGCATTCCCGGGTCAAACGAACTTTCACTGTCTGCAAACTGCAACATGAAGTGCGAGGGCTCTTCGAGAAACAATGGCCTACTCCATGCCAACTGCAATAAAGACACGCCATACTGCGAGAGCATTGGCTGGTAGGGAGGATTAGGGTTGATGGTGAACGGGCCGACGGAGAACTTGGCTCCAACTCTTGTCTCATGAAACGCAAATAATGATACCTCGTAAAGCGTAGTGTCTAGCAAAGAATCGAAGACATATTCCGTGACATTCAAGGTCAGTTGTACCGTCGAACAATTCTCAGTAGCCAACCCCTCACAGCGCATACTTCCTTTGCCGGTCCCCACGTATAGAGTCAAGCTGAAGCCTCTTGCAGACCCGCATGGGTCGCAAGCACAAGAAGAGTTTGGCAAACCATCCAAGGATGCGGGACAATCCCATCGCACCGAGAGTGAGCTGTTGTCCAACCGATACAACCTCACACGCTGCGGAATCGTTGGAGCATTCAACATTTGAAAAGCGACATGATTTGATCGTTTTGTGATCAAGTGAGAGATGTTCTGGTTAACACTCCTTACAAGTGCGACTGAAAGATTGTAGAACTGACCGAGCTCCAAGTCTGCCAATTCGAAAGTGACATCATTGCATTGACAAGATTCTAACCATTGAATCTGGGTAGATAGCAGAGGAAAACTTTGAAACGATGAGTTTGAACCTTGCGAGGCATCATTGTAAATGTGAACAAGTGTATCGTTATAATCCCAGACTGTCAAGTTCTCCAGCTGAAAATTCAGTACGACGGCAAGATCCTTGTACTGTTTCACTCGTAGATTGACGGAATCGAAAGATATCGTCCTCTGTGACCAAGACACTTGCAGGGACAATAGGAGACAGAGGAACGTCGAAACCCCGTGTTTCATGCAAGATCCTCTCCTTGTGCTACTCCTCGCGTCTTGATCCCTTTGATTTGCTTGATGACAACTCATACTTTGACTCGACGCTGATTTCATTGCTGCAGAGCAGTCTCCCTTACCTTCCCTCCACCCTCGTTTTTGAAAGCTGTGTCCTCCCTATCTCCGTTAAGCTTGCTCCCTCTGGATGAGTTCGCTCTTGCTACCTCTCGTAGCTGCCCCAAAGCTTCGTTCGCTGCACTGAACGTGTCACTCCCTGAAACAATTTCGGTCTAGTCTTTTACCTTAGACACACTCAAGCTTCGACTATTCCTGCAGATGCATAAGTCATGGATGCTTTATCTGCTCGTCTTTCTGCATGGATTCCTCGTCTCTTTCTTCCTTCGCCCCTCCTCTCCATCGCGCCGCTCGTCCCCAACAGCCATTCCACCGACTCGGAAATCCACTATCTATCACCCCCCATCCCGCCTTGCTAATTGTACCACCCCATCAGCGGGTACCCACTCACCCAGTGCATTGAACATTTCATCATCTTTGTAGTGGGGGTGGGGGTAGTGACCCCCGGTGAGTCAATGACAATCGTGAAGGAAGAGCCGTCAAAATTATGTAGCCCTCATCTCCCCAGTGACCCGGGCCCGGCGGCGAGAGCAGGGCGAGAGCAACTGCGAGAGCAACTTGAGTCCAAACTTAGGTGACACGGCCTCAGACTGCTGAGTGACTGAGCCCGGCCCGGGCTCCAGCCGGCCCCGCGAGCCGGCGGTCAGTCAGGCTCAGCGGCAAGTTACGGGGGAGGCACAGTGGACCGGGCCACCCTATTAAACTTGTGACAGTGTTTAACACTGAGTCTCGGACACTGGCCGTCACTGGCACCGTCAGTGTCAGTCACCCGGCCCGATCATCGGATGCCATGATCGGCCCGCCGCGCCGGCATCGTAAGGGCGGAGCGGCAGCCGCCGCCGTCGGGGCCCGCCGCGCCAGCCTGCCTGGCTGTCACGCCGGCCGGGCTGCCACCCGTGACCCGGCGTCACGGATCTCGGACCCACCGCCGACGGTCATGAGGCGAAGTTGGCCGCAGCGTTAAAGTTGCCGGGGCCGGGCCCTACTACGGTACAGCTGTGAGTATCGGGACTTTAGGCCTTCACAATACTAAGAATTACTCAATCTTTTGACGAGTAAAAATATGAAGAAGACTGAAGTGACGCTACTACGGATAGCAACACGGCCGGGGGGGCATGAGGGAGTTCGGAGGGAGAGGGAGGGAGAGGGAGGGAGAGGGAGGGAGATCGGAGGGAGATCGGAGGGAGAGGGAGGGAGGCCGACGGCGGGAGAGGGCGAGAGAGGGACGGAAAGGGAGGGAGAGGGCGGGAGAGGGAGGGAGAGAGCGGGAGAGGGAGGGAGAGGGAGGGAGAGGGAGGGAGAGGGAGGGAGAGGCTGAGCCTGGAGAGGAAGTATACAGGAACATGGAAGCTCGAGAAGGTCAGACCGGACCTGAAGAAGAAAGAGTCCAGGAGGCGAAGAAAGTGCATGGAAGCCCTCAAGGGGGAAGAAAGTGGGAGTAAAAGGGACGAAGAGGAGGAGGCTGAGGCAGTGCGATGATGGTCTTCAGGGCGGAAGGGAGCAGAAACAAATGCAAACTAGAGGAACGAAGGAAAGACGTTGATGGAAAGTGACGTGAATAGGAGAAGGAGCTAGAGGGAATGGAAAGAGTCAAAATCAGGAGGAGCACGCAGGGAAGAGAAGTGAACAGGCGGGTGTTGATATATGGAGACAAGACAGATGGAGATGCAGTGAAATGGGCTGCGACACATGTCTAGCAACCTTACGTCATCTCACCTAATTTCAAGTCAATCTGCTTTGACGTTGTCAACTCTGTTCTTGTTGCTGTTTTCTGGTGAGAGAATCACTGTCAGGGTTCGACGTGCTTGGATTGAGTCGAACTGAATCAGCAGCCATTGGGGAAATGACTTCCTTCCTCTCGTGCTGCGTCAGGTGATGCTTTTGACTATCATCCTTCTACTCACTTGACTTCGTCATCATCTGCTGACCTCATCTTTCACAGCTCGCGGTCGTCAAACAGTTTTATTTCTTCACAGGTGACTTGTTTCCTTCTTGATGTGTCAGACCTAAAGGGAGTGCGGAGAAGGGCCTCGACGTGGAGGAGAAGAGCAAGAAGTGTGGAGTCGGGCTGGTGTTTCGACCTACCCGAGCTGCAGGTGGGCCCGGGCAAGTTTGTGCTGCCGTGACGCTTGTCAGATGGTCGGGTTGAGCTCAAGGTGTTCTCGCTTATCCCCAAGAGCCCAGCTGACATGTGCGGGATGATCCGACCCGACGACACGCTGACACGTGAGAACTTTTGACGCCCTCGAGGTCGCGAGGCTCACAGGACGCGCAGACGTTGATAACATCGACGTGAGTGACTTCACGGTGAACGAAGGTGACGGATCTCCTCCCTCCCCGTCCTCCTCCTCCTCACCCCTTGCAGTCGCGCCGCTCGTGGTCGGAGAGCGAGGATCGGAAGTTCGTTTGACCTTCAGTCGTGGCGAGGAGGTAGAGGAGGCGAGGACGATTGACTGAGACTGACCTGCTCACTCTAGGAGTTTCAAGTGACAATCTTGAGGGTGTGGGGGGGTAAGTGAGGGCGACGATGCTGAGAGAGCGAGCACGAGGGCATGAGATGTAGGCGAGCGAGGAAGAGGTTGCGGGTACACCCGTCCTGCTTCCAGCAGGCGTTTGATGGCATTTGACAAGTTCAAAAAGTAGGTTGTACACAAAAAATAATGAACAGGAAAAGAGCAGGCGGGCAACCCGACACCTGCGGTCAAACAATGATCTAGTGTTTGCCGAAGAACTCCAGCGAGTCTGTCACGTGACTTCTCAGCTCCTGGGCCCCTCTTGCACCCAATTCACCTGCTGCTTCCTTGTACTGGCTAGCGCGAGCCGCGAGGGTCTTGACTGGCCTCTCAATGGTCGGCAGGTTGGGATCCTGAGGTTAAGTCAGACAGACGGCAGGGTGAGAGCGCAAACTCACCTTGCCGAAGATTATCTTCTCTCTGTCCATCACCTGCCCAGCACGTCAGGACGCTGGAGAGTAGAGATCGTCACATACAGGATGTAGCGCTTGCTGGGAAGGCTGAGGAGCGAAGTGATAGCCCTCCTGCCTCAGGTGCTTCTCCATGGTAAGGAAATCGTTGAGTTGCCCGACCACTCTCCTGCCCGACTGTGAGAACAGCTCCACAAAGATCTTCTCTTCTTCACCCTCCGTCGCGCTTCCTCCCTGCAGCCTTCTGCTCCAACTGTCAGCACATGGAAGAAGAATGAGAAAGTCGCACCATCTGCTCATTCGTCATGGGGCCACTCGATCCCTGTGCACGAGGCTGAGCTGAGACGGGAGGGAGGACGTGAAAACCCACCATGCTCTGAAGCGGCTGGGAAGTTTGCTTCGTGATAGGCCCGCTCGAACTCTGGCGAGGAACGTGAGAAGACCAAAGAGGGGAGCAGGACGACAAGTACCAGGTGAGAGGAGGGCTGAGAAGTCTGGAGGGTGATCGGTCCACTAGAAGCCTGTCAGGCAGGATGAGATCGGCTTCTCCAAGACTCCAAGAAGCTCAGCCGTTGAACTTACGTCACTTCCCAATGGCTGACTTGTCTGACGAGTTATCGGCCCACTGGAGCTCTGAGTAGGAAGTCACGGCCGGACAAGAGACGCCCACAAGCGTCAACCTCACTGTCAAATGGCTGCGACGTCTGCTGAGTGATGGGCCCCCCACTGCAGGCTGTCAGACCACATGGAAGGAGAACTACAAGCGAACCTGCTCATGCTGTCCAATGGCATCTTAGTGTCCTTCGACGCCGGTCCTCCCCAGCCTGCAAGAATCCGACGGTCAGTCCGCGCGTTCACTGGACAGTCGATCCTCCTTCTCACCCGCTTCGTTATCTCCTGGGCCGGCATCTACCGTCTGCACTGACGCTGGTCCACCCCAGCCTGTTGACCTAGTGAGTAGCGACTTGAGACGCGTATCTCTTGCACCAGCTTCGTTGTCTCCCGGACCCGCTTCCACAGTCTGTACAGATACAGGGCCACCCCATCCTGACCCTCCAACGTCATCCACTTCGGCTTCCGAGCACAAGCATCACCTGCTTCGTTGTCGCCTGGCCCGGCGTCCATGGTCTGAACCGAGGCGGGCCCTCCCCACCCTGCGATGAACAAGGGAAACACGAAACGAGTCAGCCCAAGAGATGCGACAAGATGCACGTCAAGCTTCCGAAAGCTCTCTTTGACTTTATGCTCACCAGCTTCATTGTCGCCAGGACCTTTGTCAATCGTCCGAGTTGAGGCTGGACCCCCCCATTCGACCTGAAAGCATCGTCAGGAATTGGTTGAGATCGACTTGAATACTCTACCTCCATGCTTGAGCTAGCAAGCTTCTGTGGCCGAATGCTCTTGCTCACCCTCCTGCTCCGACCCATCAGACTCAGTGGCACTGCAGCGACTTCTTGTCACTTGAGTATCTTCCCCTCAATCTGCTTGCAGTTTGGCGTGTTGCAGTCCAGCAGGGCCTGCAGATAAACTTGACGAGAGAACAGACGAGGGGCAAAGGCACATACCTGGCTCAAGGTGGAGTCCATTCCTGGTATAGCTTCTCTCAAAGACTTCTGCTTCTGCTGTGCCGATTGATTCGCAGTGCCAGCCTGTGGGGGGTGAAGGCATCAAGACATACTCAATCTGTACTTTTTGATCATTCACACCTTCTGTTTCGATGCTTGTTTTAACATCTGCAGGGGAAGTCAAACGTTTTGATCTCAGACTTACAACTCCACCTTGAGCTGCCTCTCCTTCGCCAGAGCATTCTTCGCCTTCAACACAGAGAAGTTTGGAAAGTACGGCTTCTTCACTTCATCCCATCTGGGGGCAGCGGCTAAGAAAGGAACAGGAAGGAATCAGGTACCTTTTCGCTCCATTGTCGCCAACATAATAATATCGCATGCTGACTGGGTCGTAGTGCCTGGTCCACTTGACCTGGAGGTCGTCAAGAGACTCAAGATGATCGGGAGACCTTACTGGTATGCTTTGTGCCTCAGGTTGTGCCCGAGGCAGCTGAGACTGACTGTCAGGCCTCGTGACCAGCTGCTTCGATTCATCATGCTCCACTTCCTGCGCCTGTTGTGCTTCTTCCTGATGAACCTGCTCGGCGTGGGCCACTTGGACAGCTCTGTGTGCCGCGTGGCGGTGTAAGGACTTCGTGATCGAGACGGCACCATGAGGACGCTTCACTTCATGTTTCATAGGCATGGTTGACTGCCTGCAAGTCCTACAGTTCACCACCACATGTCGCGGACGAGCCACAAGCGCCCACCTGCGTGATAGCTTGTTCTCAGCTCCGCTGCTGCCCAGGGAATCAAAGAACGAGTCGAAATCCTTGGAAGCCTAGTGGCACATAAGCGGCGCATCCACAAACGTCACCTACGACAACCTCCTGGGATGACAAGGCTCCCTGATCCCCGAGGTAGTACTGCGACAACTCTTGGAGTCTCCCAGGGGTCTGCAACGTCAAACTGAGGTCAGCTTTGCGGAGCCGCGTCACCACCATCACCTTGGATCTGTAGTTTGCTGGAATGAAGCTGGGCTCACCGTTGAAGGCGATGGGATACCTACCAAGCTCTCCCTGCAAGAACGTTGAGCAGCGTCTTCCACCATATCCGTCTGCCAACCTGGGCAGGACCAGAAACAGAGCTCGGCCAGACGTCGGGGCCTCGGGCTGTCTCTGCCTCAGCTCTCCTTCAACATACCAAGACCTTTACCTGGATACGCATTGAGACTTGCTGGTCCCGGGCCATTGTAGATCGCAGTTGACTGCACATCAGTGTCATATCCAACTCTCGGTGGTTTCTGTTCCCCTTACCTTGGCCCCTCCCTCGTCCTCAGCCCTCGAGTTTTCCTCCAATGCTTTCGCCGCACACATGAGAGGATCTGCTCACGGATAAGAGAATACACTAAGAGAGCAGCTGGATCAATCGGCAACCTTGCATGCACTCCTTTGTCGGCGGAGTCTGCTCGTTCAAGTATCCATGCAGACATTCAGGGCTCTGTGTGTGTGTCAGACATCAAGTTACATTCAAATGACGTTCTCTTCTCCATCATACCTCCGCGTCCCAATCTCTCCAAGACCCAAAGACAGGTTTGCACTTGCTTGCTAACGAAGTCTACCAGGAGTGAGATTGATCAACCAAGACACCATTTTCACCTTAGAGCTTGCAGAAGATAAGCTTCGGGATAGAAGGATAAGGCCAAGCGCAGACAAAGCGAGGCAGCAGATGATCTTGTGCTGTATATTGAATCACGTCATCTCAATTGCCAGGATCCTTTCAACATCCCACAGCATCGAGACTCACACATAGCAATTCACTGCCCCAACTCCGATACCGTGTTGAATTCGTTTCTGCTCTCCTTCCTGCTGACAGCATCTTTCTTGTCTTATCCTCCCTCTTCTCTTCTATCCATCTCCTCCTCTGAATTCTTCTTCCATCCTTCTTCTCCATCCTCGTCGCTCACTTACCATCATCTTGTTCCTCGCCATGCCGCGAAGAGCCATAGCGCTCAACCCCCCGCCTCAGTCAACCTTCGCTCAGTCTCCTCAGGTTCACCTTGATCATCTGGAGACAACCTACCCCATCATTTGAAGCTCTTTTTGAGTATATAGTACCCCTACTTGATACAACCCACCCCTGATCTGTCCTCAACTGATCGCTGCCCAATCAAATTTCTTTGATGCTTCCTAATACATCAAAGAAAACCTTCTTAGACCTCTGAGGTCAGCCCAGAAAACTCTCTTCTGAGGCGAGCTGGTGAAGTTAAAACATTATTGAATAAATCATTTTTGATTATACATCTGTTTTAACTTCACCAGCTCGCCTCAATGAAGCGATAGCAATAAGCAATGAACTACCCACCATCTCCAACAATCGAACATGCAAAAGTACCCCTTCTTCTCTATTCCTCAACCCCCACATTTCATACCACCCCACTGTACACCACCACTCTTGTCCCCCAAGACCCTCTAAGTGTCGCAAACGGCATTTTTTTTTAAATGACCCTACACGCCAACGACAACCCTACGGTAGCAAGTACCACCCCCTTTTTCTCTTTTGCCTACCCCGTGGTCTCGCTTTCCCCAACAGATAAAGTCTTTGTTGGTAAAAAAGAAACACCCACCCTTGCTATTGGGGAAAACAACCCCTACAAGTACCCCTGATGTAAAAGCTATGGCGGTGACCCCCCATCCCCTCTCGATCTCTGGTAGTTTTTCCCTATTTCTGAACGAATGTGGATACCTACCCCACCCCGTGGTTTGATGGGCTGGACGCACCCGTCTTCAACTGCACCAATAGAAGAACTCTCCAGATTCCATTCTGCCGTTCCAAAGGCAGTTGGCGTCCCATTCTCACCATGATTTACTCAACTGTAAAAGGTAAAATGATCTTCTTCGGAAACTGTATCAAAATTTAACACATTTTATAACTTGACTGAAAAAGGTCGGAGTGATATGATACACACTCTCTCTATATATTTGAAATTAAGTATTTATTTGATACTAATATAAGTCAATATACACTCAAATATTTCATCTATATTGAATCCTACAATACTTGTATAATCCGCCAACTGGACGTGTATGAGTTCTGCAATGCCGGGTTGTGTGTCAGTCCGAACGGATGGAGGGAGAACGAGAGCAGGAGGAGGAGGATGTGGGGAGGAGAGGGAGCAGGATAGAAGAGACGAGCGGAGCAGAGTGCTGGAGTGATACAAGAACAGCTGTCAGACTTCGTCCTGAGCTTGAGAAGCGCTTGTCATGTGGTTGGATGAAAACGTGTGTCGCATGAGTCGCATCCGTTGCTGTCACGAGGAATGGCGGAAGGGACAGTGAGGCGAGGAGTGGAAATGAACTTGATTACGATCTCTATTATGTTCTTGCATCAAGTTTTGGTGTTCGCGAAGGTGTTATCCACGCAACGCACCATTGTTGCATCCACAAAGTACATTACTACGTTGTTCTGCTGAGGATGATCTATAGCTAGATAAGCAGCAGATAATTCTCAAGGTCGCCTTGCACTGAAGCGTCTTAGTTTAGCCCAGTTCCTTGCCATAGACTTGATATCATCGCGCTATGCTCTTCTGCATTGATCGCCTTATGGCCTCCGCAGCTGCCACAGTTTGTGATGGTTTCTTGCAGGGTAGCCCACTTGTTGACACCAGAGGCTCTCGGTGTGCAGATGGAAATGGCCAGCGACTCGTCCAGGTGATGTTCTAGCACTACATTGACCCTGGATAGCATGTCAAGAAGCTGACATGGCTCGTAGTGTTCTAGACGACTCAGTCTGCAACAGCAGCCCGGAAACAGCCAACAACACTATGTTTTCTTCATTGAGCCAACGTTTGCAAAGGGGAAAGGTAAGATAATCAGTCATACATGTTGAACTGCTGGATCTCTTTGCGGATGTTGCGGCCTGATGACTTGTGAATGAGCAGGATGAGCTCTCTGCCTACCTCAATCGCAATCATGTGCAGGTACAATGCTCAAGAAATCATCACCCTCTTGCTTGTCCTTGACGTCTCGTTTCTTGTCATCACAGAGTGCTGGATTGCAGTCTAATTTTCGCCGGAGCTTGCCTGTTGAATCTCCCCTAGAATCGTACGGCAAGAAAGGGCGCGACTTGCTGCTTTCTGCGCAGAACCTAGTCAGTTTCATATCTCCGACCTCGAAAGAAGGGTATTCTTCCAAGAACGAAGTCTCCTCCTCAGATCTTATCCTCCGCATCGAAAATTTGGAGGTTTTAGTCGTTCCTTACCTGCTTCAGTCCTGACCTCAGGCATAGACAAGAAATGCCAGACTTGAAGCTGAAATTCAAGAGAAGGTAGAGTGCTCGATTGAACTGAATTTGTTGAGTTGAGATGCTCCTTTGACAGAACAAACTGCTTCATGAGCAGCGACTTGATATATACAGGAGGTCAGAAGTTGTTGCGTGAAAGTGACTCTTTGGTGTAACTCGTGGCAACAGACGTGAAGAGGAGGAAGACGTGCGAGAAGATCTCTTGAAGCGATGTCGCGTCGCTGAGGTACTCAGAGGTGTCGATTGTGATCTTATCTGATCTGAATTCAGGCTTTGCGAGATGAAGCTCTCGATTCTTTTGATGAAGCAATATCGCAATTGAAAGTAAGACTGTGGTTTATCATGGTCATTTTTGATAATGCCTTCGATCAGTTTTTGGAAAGGAAGTTCAAAGATGAAGCTTTGAGAGCGGATGAAGAATTGCAGAGGGTACAAGAAGAGTCAGGTATGCGCGATGCCAGACATGTGGATCTGCTTACAGATCGGGACAGATAATCTTTTAAGCTCCAAACAGCTTGCGATGGAAGCTATGAAGTCCACCCTACAGGTTAGCTAGCCGTACACTTGTAATCTTCGACATGCACATGACCGTCTACTTAGCGCGAAATTGAGGAGTTGAAATCAAAATGTGCTGAGCATAGTCTCACCATCCAAAAGCTTCAGGACGAGAGCAAGAAGGTTGTTTTGATAGTTGTCAATCCAATGGTGACAGGTGCTTTGGTCCAGGAGGAGTACGAGAAGCTGCAGAAATTGAGCGAAGATCAAGCAAAGCAAATCGAGTCACTCAGGACCGAATTGAAGAAGGTTGTCGTAATGACCACAGACTCAGCACTTGACTTACATTTTGATTCATCACAGGCTGACAACTTCTATCTTTCTCGTGCAAAATTTGATGCTCGACTTCGCGGTTGTGATTTTACAATATGCAAGCACATGGGTTGTTGATATTTATTTAGAGGAGGCGAAGAAAGCCAATGAAGAGAAAGAGGCCCTTCAGAGCATGGTTGACTCTCTCAAGGCCAGAGAAAAGTGGGATCGTGTCAATGTTGCTGTAGTGGCAGCCTCTGAGCGTTTGACAGCGAGCAGCATGGCATCATGAAGAAACAGATAGAATACATCTTGGACAGGGTAATGCGAACAGATGCTTCGTCACTTGCTTTCAGAGAGTTGACTTGACATGTTCAGGTCCAAGGATCATTACTCGATTGTATCGCCGTGCAAGATTGCGATGGCAAGGTACTGAGGATGATTCATCTCAAATGGATCACTTCATGCTGAAACTTGACGTAGGGATTAGAGCTGGTCGAGATGCTTCGTTCGGAAAATGTGTGTGAACTGCAGTGAAGCCTCTGATTTGTAATCCTTGCACTCTTCAGAGCAAGCTCACAGCAGACTTGTCCGCTCTGACTGATCAGGTAAAATGTGATAATTTTTCGTTCCTTCTAGGCCTAAATCGTTTAAAGTTGGAGGGAGAAAGACGGGGTCTTCAAGGCGAAGCCTCCAAGGTCAAGAGTTTTCTTCGTAGAAACGTAAAAAAACAATGTCTGACACGAATGGTGCAGAATATATCCATGAAACGAGAAATAGAAGCGCTGCGTAGTGATCAGAGCAAGGTCTGCATGATCTGTGGATGATACGATGAGGCTAAGCCTTTCAATCAAGCTCGTCTTGGAGAAAGAAGCAATGAGCAACAAGATCAGCAGGTATGTCTTTTTTTTTTTCCTGGCTCCCAAGCGAGTACCTTTTGACTCGTTTCCAGTCTTGAGGTGGAATTCAACGAGCTACGAAGCAATTTCTCCGAAGTGAAGTATCTTGCTGATCAACGGAGGAAGGTAAGGGATGGTGTTCGAGGACTAGTTCTCATGTTGACTTATCGGTTTAGATCCTTGAGTCAACCTTGGAGCGGTTGTCGATGAAGGCGACGGCGGAGGATAAGGAGGAGAAGGCGCGGAAGGAGTGGGAGGCAGAGGTTGTTGCTCTCCAATGTGACCGCCAGTGTTTGAGATGAGGCAACTCAGCATAACAAGCTTCAAGCTCACCTCGCTATCGTCGCGCTTCCTCCCGTGGGCCCGTGCATTCATGCCAAGGTAGTCGTAGCTGCTGCTGTGGGGGAGGTTGTGACCTCGTTCAAGGGCGGAGCTGCTGGAGGAGCGACTGACATCGCGATTGAGCATGAACCCGAACTGCCGGAGATTGTTCCCTTCAAGGTTTGTGATGTCGTGATGGTACCCGTGTGAAGAGCTGATCTCGTGGCAGAATGAGAAAGGAACGATGATCGCCATTACAGCGTCTTTCATGGGGTACGTCGCTCTTCAGACCCCTTGAGTTGCTCGTGTCTGACTGGCGTGCAGTCGAAAACGGCGCAGAAACGTGGATGAACCTGTTGAAAACGATATGAATGAACCAGAACGAAAGTCTCAGGTCAGTCTCCTCTGATGTTTCTCTCTTCTGCTAATGTCCACGGTATCAGAACGAATCAGGGTCGTGGCTGGGAAAGATCTTCGGGAAGTAGATGTCTGATTCATGTTTGTACCATTTAAGCCTTTCTGTATGTAATTCCCCGACATGGCCCCGAACTTCATGTCTTGTGCGATAATTTTGAACGCCAGCGGCGCAAACGATTTTCTTTGTAAACGAAAGTTACAAGTTGGTTGGAGGAACCCGATTCCGCCGCGACACTCGCTGGCCTTGTCGCCCTCCCCCTGTTCAGCAAGTGAGAAGGAGAGTCGGCGATGACAGCGCGACCTGACGGCTGTTGCATGCATGATGTGTACCAGGCCTCTACCTCCTCTCCTCTTCTCCTGCCATGCACGTTCAAGGTCTCAGCATCAGATTCACCTCTTCACCTTCGGTAGCGATAGACTGAACCATCGCAGAGCCCGTTGTACATGCCGTCAGGACATCGACTGACGGCGCTCCTGCTCAGAATAATGAGACAAAGGGAGGAGGAAAGGAGGAGCGCGAGACCTTCCGGGCGAGATGTCATCGCATACCACTTGGGACCCTCCTTGTTGAAGGAACGACAGCGCCATGGGGTTGCGAACTTGGCAGTACATGCTGAGCACGGGAGGAGAGTCAGCCTCGTCGGGCATGTTCTTGCAACCTGTCGAGAGTCGAGTCGCCCTTGGCGCATCTGGCGGAGCAAGACTTGTAGAATTCTCTATGAGGACGTTAGGCTCGCCTCAGGGGAGCGGTAGGCTGAACCTGACGCGGCTCGCCATCTCCGGCTTGTACCTGACGCAGTAAGTGTCATGTCAGAGATCAAACAACTAGTGTCATGTCAGAGATCAAACAACTAGTGTCATGTCAGAGATCAAACAACTAGTGTCATGTCAGAGATCAAACAACTAGTGTCATGTCAGAGATCAAACAACTAGTGTCATGTAGGAGATCAAACAACTAGTGTCATGTCAGAGATCAAACAACTAGTGTCATGTCAGAGATCAAACAACTAGTGTCATGTCAGAGATCAAACAACTAGTGTCATGTCAGAGATCAAACAACTAGTGTCATGTAGGAGATCAAACAACTAGTGTCATGTCAGAGATCAAACAACCAGTGTCATGTAAGAGATCAAACAACCAGTGTCATGTAAGAGATCAAACAAGACAAGTTACCAGAAGTTTCCATCGCCAACTCGCTTCGAAGCTCGCTTGATAGCTCCTGCTCCTGGTGTATTGCTGTCGCAATGCTGCCCGTCGCCTAAAATAGAATCATCATTATCATTCACCCTATCCTATCAGTTACACCAACCTTGAAGCCAAACCCTTGCAATGTCGTTGGACATGAGACACCTCAAGGACAAGCAGATCAACACAGCGCAAACAGAGGAAGTGAAGCTCTTACATATCCAGCGAGCTCTGGTAGGTGTCTGCGTCATCAGCGCATGTTGGCACACAAGTCCGGTAGAACTGACGTCGAATGTCACAAGGGCACGCGAGAGGAGAGAAAGGGGGTGAAAAGATGAGAGGTTGGGGAGAGGAAGGGGGGTGGAAGGAAGGGGGGTGGAAGGAGAGGGAATGAGGAGGCAACTGGAGGGGGGTGGGGTGGGTTGGAAAGGGACAGGAGAGGGAAGGGGCGAGTTTTACCTCTCGGACAGCTTCCCTGTCTTTCGGGTGGTACCAGAAGTTGCTGAAGCTATCCTGCGAGACATACTGAGACAAGGCAGGTCAAGTCTTGTACTTCACTTCGCTCTTTCTCAGGATTTTCGCTCCTTGCCACAAGTGTCACGAGAGAGCAACCACGGGTAAGTTACCTGGCATGTTGGGGGCACACATGACCCAGGAGTGTCGGAGGAGGTAGGCGTAGGCATACTTGTTGCCCATCTGCCTTCTCTCAGTCGTCGTCGATCAAGAGAGATCTCACCTGGCATCGACGCGCCTCCGCATCATACATGTCTTCTTGATTCGCGCACATCGACCCTGCGCAGCATTACACGCGAACATCGAGGAGCTCGAGCACCAGCTGGAATGAGATGCCCGACTCCGACCTTGTCATCCTTGAGGAAGATCTGCAAGGCGATGAGATCAGCAAGGCGATGAGATCAGCAAGGCGATAAGATGAGCACTTCAGCTTCACCGTATCCTACCTGCATGGTGGAGAAGACGAGGCCGACGACAAGCACCAGGCCTAGGATAGCGATCGGCTGCCCCTGGCTCAATGCCGACTGAAAATGAAGTCATGGGGATCAGAAGAGGGTCGACCGGTAGGGCTTGCCTGCCATACTCGAAGGTAGTCCTGCAACGAGCGGAGGAAGCGCCGCGTCTGCCAGCAGAGTCACCCCCCTCACACGACATGTTCATGTGTAAGAAGAGATACCTGCATGACGAGGGTAGTTGAGCTTAATGATAACGCTCACTCATCTCCACCGTCTCCTTTGAAAGCTGCAAGGAGAAGAATAAGCTCTTAAACACACTTCTTGTCTGCATGGACTTCTAGCTAGCTCTCTTGCTTGTCTCTTCTTGTCTCTCCCAGTCGCTCCTACGCCATACCGACGTGTCGGTCGGAGCAATCCATCAGGGGGTTTAGTGAGGTTCAGTTTTATTAATATAAAGTTTAGTTATAGTTTAGCTCTTGAACCTCGTTGGAAAGGAGCCAGTGCTGTAGATCGGAACATGGAGAGGAGCGGAGAGGAGCGGAGAGGAGAGGAGAGGAGAGGAGAGAGGAATTCATAAGTAGGTGGAGCAGGAACTTTGCCATGCCCAAATCTCTCCTGGGTTGATCAAGGACGGGAAGACAAGAGACATGCAGCTTAGGCTTGGACTTGCGTTATTCGTTCTCCTCCTTCTCTCGCTCGCTTCTGGTCGGTCTGCCCTCAAGGTCACTCGCTATGAGCCAAGAGGCGTCACCAGGAATGCTTCGCTCGCAGCTTACAGGAGGCACGAGGTCAACACTAGCCTGGTAAGCTCGATGACGACAGCAGTCCTCTCCATACCGAGATCACTTTCCCGTGTCTTCTTGCATCAAATGCATCAGAATTCATCGACGATGATGCGAGAAGAGACGTCGAGCTTGGACTATTCTCATCGTTATGAGAGGGTGGAGTGGAGCGAGAGCAGCACGTTTGTTCGGTCTGAGACGCATGCGCAAGTCAAGTCCAACATGGTCAGGACGGTAGAGCATCAACACGTACAGCACACGCAAATCCGCCACGAAAGTTTCTCCTCAAAAGTCTCCTCTCAAGTCTCCTCCTATGGTACCAGCTCCTCCTATGGTACCAGCTTGTCGCGGTCTCGTGAAGCTTCTGGATATGCAGCGAGTAAGGTCAGGAGCGGCGAGGTTTTGAGCCTCGAGGACGGGCAGGACAAGGAGAGCGCGAGAGAAGGAGGTAGAAGACATGCTTCCCTTGCTCTGTTTCATTTGACGGCCCTTACAGTCTCTTCTTCAGCAAAGAAAATGTTGGAGGAAGAGATGGCATGTGGCAAATCAGCTTGTAGACCTTTGAGAGCACAACAGAACAGCCTTGCTCATCCGGAGCCAGCAACACAGCAACACAGCCTTGCTCATCCGGAGCCAGCAACACAGCAACACAGCCTTGCTCTGCCAGAGCTGGCGAAGCAACAAGCTTCTCCTGTTTCATCTCCCAACAACGATGCGCTCAAGAGCAACGAGACGCAGCCAGCAGGTGAAGCAAGTTGTCATGTTCTATCACTCTGCATCACTCAGTCTCTCTCTTTTCAGATGGCAGAGTGCGTTTGCTGGGTCGTAAGTTTGCAAGTTTGGTGAACCTGTCCTCACGGGAGCTCTTTAGCATGTATTGGACCAAGGTGTTAGCAACAGTTCTCATGTGTGTTTTATTCTTTTACTCTCCGTTACTCTTCTTGGATGACGATCGCGATGTTGCATAGCAAGCTATGTTAAAGTATGTACAAGTCTTTTTACTTGCAACTCTCCGACAGTTCCGCCCGCACTCAATCGTCATCTCGATCGAGATATCACCCGAAACATTCTTGTCATGATACCCAGCATATCAAAAGCAATTTGTGACGTCCTTGAAAAAGGCACCTTTTGAATGATCGTGGCAAAGAGTGGCTGGTCTTGCATTTGAGAGGAGGAACTTCAACGCAGTGGGCCGCCTGTCCTTACCGACAAGAGGAGGTTGAGACTGTCACACGTAGAAAGGTGCTGATTATCGTGAAGATTGGAATCGAAACACAACCATTCTGCGTTTTCGGGCAGGATAGTGGTTGTTAGTAAACTCTATCAAGGCAACTGTGGATGTGAAAAGAAGCGTTGGCCTTCAGCAATCAAAGCAAGGCACACGTGCTTTTCTGTGGTCAGCTTGCTGGTAACTTGAAATATCTAAAGAGCAACAAGATAGATTAGTACAGGTGATCCTCTCCATTCGCTCCCGCTAGCATACACAAAGAAGATCATCTCATCTTATCATCGCTGCAATGAATTTTAAGACTTGATGTATTCCATTCGCGCACGATCTTCAATTCGTCTGTCCTAAACTCACGTGCATCCTAGTGACTTGATGAAGTCTCGATTACAGTCTTCCACCGTACGAGCCAACACTCAAATCAACTTCATGTAATGCTTCCCCTTCTGTCGAATCAAAGGCTGGCAATCATGTGGTGCAATCGATCTTGCCAAATCAACATGGCGTATTTATTCATGACAGCTCGAAGCTCAAATGCCGGAATGTTGCAGTACACTACAATCGATCTGCTCTGTCACAGACTTTCTCCTGGATCCTGAATAGCCGGGGCCACAAAGCAAGGCACCAAAACGTTGCCTCTTGTATCAATCGGTGGCCGTGGTCAGAGCATCCCTTGCAACATTAGGAAATCACTGCAAAATGCTCGAAAAACTATGTATCGTTCACCAACGATGCTTGTGACGGAAGTGTAGGACTGAGAACGTTTCCCTTGCCGAAAAACATCGAAGGTGTCGCACATACGTCTGTACGGTATGTTTCTCAAATGCCAGTAGTGAATCGTAGTTTACTTCTCTTGTCAGTGTTGGGACTTGAAGAGTTGTACGCAGTGACAGGCATGCATGTGAACTCAGCAGTAAACATCAACGCCGATATCATGGAAGCATTTTGCATCTTACTAGCCGATGTGAACTGTCAGCAAATCAACCAGCATGACCCAGTTCCGACGATGCAGGAGCATCCTGTGTGTGACGAACTGGTTTTTTTTTCGCAGTGTCAGTGTTACTTGAATATTGCGAAACAATAAACTTCACACAAAATCTAAAGGAAAATTGTTGAACCCAACTCGAATCCTACCTGGAGACTCAGAGTTCCACATAAACTACGGTGAAACCTTATATGTAGTAGTTGTGAGAACGTCTTCGTTTTTCTTTTGGTGTCAGGAGTGCCAAGTTTCACGCGTGGCCTCGGAGGTTCAGATTCCCAGAGCTCGTCGTACTAATTTTACTCAATAAATTTGAAATCATCTGGACCAATGGTATATAAGAGAATTTTATTTCCAAAGGTCGAGATGGTGAACCGTTGTGGTCGAGTTTGTCAGCAGGGTGATTGCACCCCCACAGGGGCCCACCGGAGGTGGGGTACTGACCGGACCATAAATGTGCCTAGCCCAAGCTCCATTCCGTTCTATGCCGTGATACATATGATGGTATTTATAGAAAATATCTAACCCTTCCTATACCACCCAATTAGTAACGGCGACGGGCTGGGGAAAAGACCGTGACACGATCGTGACAATTTCACATTTAAAAACATGTATATTTGAAATAGATTTCAAACAGGTTCTGGGAATCTGGACCTCTGCGCCACGCGTGAAACGCTCCGAGTGGCTTCAGTCAGGGGTTGCCCCGGCAGCATGCTACCGCAGGTAATCGAGAGGGAAACGAAGCTTGATAAGCTTGATAAGCTTGATGTTGAGCACCCGATGTCTTGATAGCCTGATAGCTTGATCTTGAGCACCTGATGTCTTGATCGCCTGATAGCTTGATCTTGATCACCTAGCTTTTGATGTCTTGCTGGTTGCCAGGCTTGATAGCTTTGATAGGTTGATAGCCTCATTGCCTTGTTTGCAAGATTTGCTTGCTAATCTTCAGATCAGAGCGATGGATGAAACCCATGGCCAAGGCTGGAGTGATGTGGATGACAAGATTGCAAGTCTCCGTCAGAGAATCGTACAAGCGAGGGACGAGTGGTTTGCTATAAAGGATGGCGGACTGGAGAAGAAACGGGCTCATTTGCGGCTTAGGCAGGCAGAGCTTGATCTGGCCGGGCTCGAAGAAGACGAGAGGAGAGAAGCGAAAGCTCGTATCAGGCTCTTGCGGACAGAGCTTGATCTGGCCGGGCTCGAAGAAGACGAGAGGAGAGAAGCGAAAGCTCGTATCAGGCTCTTGCGGACAGAGCTTGATCTGGCCGGGCTCGAAGAAGACGAGAGGAGGAAGGCAGAGGCTCGTATCAGGCTCTTACGGGCAGAGCTTAGTCTAGCTGAGCTCGAAGAAGACGAGAGGAGAGAAGCGAAAGCTCGTATCAGGCTCTTGCGGGCAGAGCTTAGTCTAGCTGAGCTCGAAGGAGACGAGAGGAGAGAAGCGAAAGCTCGTATCAGGCTCTTGCGGGCAGAGCTTGATCTGGCCGGGCTCGAAGAAGACGAGAGGAGGAAGGCAGAGGCTGATGTTGGGGACGAATACTCTTGTGATGAATTGCGAACAAGTCTCACGAATCTCTGTCCACAGTCGTGAGGGTGCACGAAAATTGCTTTGCCTCACACATCGCTCTCTTCCTCCATACGTCCTGCCGTCAGACCAAGCCGCAGAGGCCATGAACAGGATTTTCGGAAGTGCAATGGTACCCAAGCTACTGGAGCATGTAAACCCATGGCTATGCTCTCAATTCCTGGAAGTGGTCAACCGATCAGAACCTGCCGAGCGACACGTACAGCTTAGGGCAGCCTCGCACAAAGTTCATATGTCAGTCAAGCAAGAGAAACCGAACTGGAGAGATGCGTCCATATACTGTATGTTTCAGATTGCTGCGTACGAATCTCTCTCTCAGCTGCACATCTCCCAAGGTTTTGCTCTTCTGAACTTGTGGAGAGGAGATCCACCAGTCCGAAACAGTGCAGCCTCAATCCTTGATGTAACGTTCCAGGACGGGAAAGCTTCTCTGATGGGAACGGCTCTTTCTATGCTGACCTCGAGGTTTGCTTCTCCAAGGCTGGATCCCATTACCATAGCTGTTTGTGCTGGAGGGGGCCGGCCTTTCTCTGACCATGGCTCAGCGCTTCATGTCTTGCAGAAATTGTACAGAGAGCACATGTGCGCCAGTTATGATCCTGTGAACGCAGATGCGGTCAAGCGGGATGGAAATCAGCTTGAGTCGTTTGGGGCAGTAGTCATGATGATCAGCAGCTGGTCTCCCCCCCAGGACCTGCTAAAGAATATTGCCTTTCATTGCGGCGTGGAAGACACGAGAAGCTTGGACGAAATTCTTGCTTCTGTTGCAAGCAAGGAAATCTTCGTGGAGATGCTGACATCGTGCGTGTGTAACCTGGTCCCTCTGAAGGAGAGCGAGCGGGAGCATTTTCTGTCCGGCGCAGTCTTGGGCTTCTACACTCGTAACAGGGATTTACAAGGGAGGGACGGTACTTTTGCAGGGCCGACTTTATCAGGCAAGAAGAGATGGAAAGGGGGAGCGGAGTTCAAGAACTGGTCCTCGCCTGTTACGCCGAAACAGCTTTCAGACGTGATCTCAGGTCTGGTGTCACACGATCTGGATATCCATGTGTTCATGGCACCCAGCATATCAAAAGCAGCTTGTGACGTCCTTGAAAAAGGCACCTTTTTGAATGATCGTGGCACAGAGTGGCTGGTCTTGCATTTGAGAGGAGGAACTTCAACGCAGTGGGCCGCCTTTCCTTACCGACAAGAGGAGGTTGAGACCATCACACGTAGAAAGGTGCTGATTATCGTGGAGATTGGAATCGAAACACAACCATTCTGCGTTATCGGGCGGGATAGTGGTTGTTAGCAAACTCTACCAAGGCAACTGTGGATGTGAAAAGAAGCGTTGGCCTTCAGCAATCAAAGCAAGGCACACGTGCTTTTCTGTGGTCAGCTTGCTGGTAACTTGAAATATCTAAAGAGCAACAAGATAGATTAGTACAGGTGATCCTCTCCATTCGCTCCCGCTAGCATACACAAAGAAGATCATCTCATCTTATCATCGCTGCAATGAATTTTAAGACTTGATGTATTCCATTCGCGCACGATCTTCAATTCGTTTGTCCTAACTTGACTCACGCGCATCCTCAGTGACTTGATGAAGTCTCGATTACAGTCTTGCGATTTCGCGCTCAACTCCGAAGCTGCTGACAAGCAACATGCTCTCTTCTCACACAGCAAAGTAATCAGTTGGCTTACAGAACTCCAAGACTCGGAGGTCTTCGGGTTGACCAATCTCTTACAGATCCAATCTCTTTCCCATCCAATCTCTTACAGATTCCACTTACTGATTCTATCTGCCCTCTTACATCTTGCTCTTCTTCTTCACATTCCCCAAAGGCACCCTTCTTCTCCGTACGGTCCTCGTCCTCGTCCTCGTCCTCGTCCTCGTCCTCGTCCTCGTCCTGTTGCATGTGCTCCAGCTCGTGCTCCACCACCACCTCCTCCTCAGCATCATCAAAATCACATCATCATCATCATCATCCACTCTTTGCCATGATTAGATCCTTCTACATGACTTCTTGCAAGCAAGTGCATCTTGAGGAATTGATGGAATGGCTGTTTTCCCACGTTGCTCACACTCACAGCTGGTGTATCCTTCCGAATCAACATGTTCATTCACGCAAAGATGATGGCACATCAGGCTTGCATCTTCAGCATTGATACAATCGAATGCTTTCATCATGTACCTTGCATTGATTGCCAAACAAGCATGTGTGTGAAGAAGCCATGAATGGCGCGAAGCTGTTTGTGGAAGGGGGTGGGGTGGGGCCACACATTTCTATAAAAGATCGGACAGTGCAGGTTGTGCTACCCCTACTTAAAGCCTTCAAGTACCCGGTAAAATTATGCCCTGCTTTCCAAAGGTATGTTTTTTAGCACTCATTGAAGATGCAGGACAAAATATTTACTCAACTTTGCCCTCCCTGCCGGACCAGACCTTTATGCTCGTGTCCGGCAACTGTCAGACACTTCAAACTATAAATTGGACTGAGCGAAAATTCATGCCGGTGGCGATGGAAGGAAGATAGATCATCGGATCGCAATTGTTCTCAGTATGCTATTTGTTCCTGACAAACCAAACAATGCATAACATAGGGAAATCATTTCTCCATCGATTTTCTGTCCTTGTATTCTCTAATTATGCAATACGAGAGTAACAAACAGCATTGAACCTCGCTTGATAGAAGAAAACCTCTACGACGTAGGCTTGTTCTGAACCTTGTAGTCATCTGATCATGGCATGGGACGTTTGATCGAAGCAATTCAAAAAGTTATTCTGGAAGCAATGCATTGACTTCCATGATCATGGCTGAATATCGACAATCGTTCAGCGTATTCAAGTACTTTTATTCCATGTTCAAAGAAAACATCATCCTGACTATTCTCAACGACTTGATGCAGACGAGCCTGAGTTCCTCTTGAATTTTTTCCTTAACTTCTTCACGAATGTATTCCATTTCAATTGCCCTCTGCGGAAACTGTAGCCCGAGTCTACATTGATCCAACTGTAGAAAGACGACTCATACTTGACAAAAATCTCCTGCGATTCCCTGAACATGCGCCTGACTCCGGTTCCTCTTTTCAACTCTTCAAACCTCCTTAGTTCTGTATCCCTCTCGTCTGCATCCTTGTCAGCTAGCACGTTGTTCATATGCTGCTCAAAACATTTCACGAGAAACTTCACGTCTGAACGTCGCTTTGTATTGCTTTCTCCAGGCTTCAACTCCCCTGCAGAAACATTTTTCAGAGGGGAATTTGTTTTTTCTCGTTTCCACAGAACCACAACTTCCATGCCGATAATGGGGTTTCCAGCTCTTGTTTCAAAAGGACTTCTTCCAGAGCCGACGCGCTTGCCCCAACTGCTGCATCAATAGGACCACCCGGGTCTCTGCTCTCATTCACTCCAACAGTGTCCGAGGCTGCCGGTATTACGGTGCTCCCCTCTCTCCTGCGACCAGACTCAACAACACTCTGACCTGAAGCCTCGGGGTCCCTTTGCTGAACATCTCTCTGTGATCCACTTGCTTCCCCTCCCGTCTCCATAATCACCTCCCGTATCATAGCTTCCAACTCATCTCGATTCTCTAGCAAGCCTTGCCGAAGGAAATCCTTCGCTGATTGTCCAGACTCATTTGGTATGAAACCAACTTGTCGCCTCTCCGAACTTGAAACTCCTTCTGCCAATGCCTGGTTGCCCCGGCTAGATTGCTTGAACTCCAGAACTTCTCTTTGTATTTTTTCTAGGGACGCAACAACCTTGTCATTGTGGACATATTGATGAACGTGTGGAGGAATGCCTGTCGCTTCCATTCTGCCCCTTGCTTCCTTTGGCATGCAGCAAACAACCTTTGATTTCAAAGTATTCAGCATAGCTTCGTCCTGAAACAAGGTTGACTTCCAAAGAGGATGATTCCTCTGCAAATTCGTTCTGAGGAAGTCTGCATGGTATGACACGGATGCGAGTGCAAACTCCGCAACTCCATACATGCACATTGGTAATGTTGGGAACAGCATCTCAATCGCACTTGTGACCATCCCTGACGAGTCAGGCTTCTTTGAAATGCGGCGGAAGAATTGCAAACTCTGATGAGTCGATGGGAAGCCCTGTTATAGTCACGGCACTGCTCGAGGGACAGTGAGTACTGACAGTGAGGGCCCGGATGAACAATAAGTTGCTGCCCCCTTCCTAATAGAGTGACTTCCAAGATCCTCTGCCAGTTGTAAACCGAGTGAACGCAGATGGGCAGTCACTGTACACATCAGTGACTCGGATGCCCCCGTGCGGCGTGCTGAGTCACGTCCGGCCATCCGATCAGCATGTGACGCCGCCCGGTCAGTAATGCCCGGGGCCGGGGATGATCCGCCGGGGCCGAGTCGTGGCACCCAGTGGCACGGCACCGACAACGTCCGATCACGGTCCCGGCGACCGCCCCGGCCCGAAGTCCGGCGGCCTGGCCCGGCCGCCGGGCCGCGGCCGCGTCCGAGTCAGTGACAGTGCGGCGGCGGCGGGCGTACCGTGCTGGTCACCGGGTGACCTGACGGTCACCGTCCCGGGCCCGGGTCACCAAGTTGTGCCGGCGGCCCTCAGAGTGACGGTGTCCGCCGTGACTCATCAGACGGTGAGGCCGCTCCCACCGGGGCCGGAGCAACTTGAGTCACTGGGCCCGGATGAAACTTGAAAACCACCCCTCACTCCGGTCACTGTACCCCACTTTACAACTCACCCCTCAGTCGTTTACACAATTCCATCTTGTCTGCATCACCCCTCTTTTTCTGCTTCAAACCACCCGTCCTGGAATTCATCACCGAACCACCTGGACCACCCTCAGACCCCTCCACTACCCACCCCACCCGTTCAAACGACCTTTTAGTCAGTTGTTTTTGCTACAGCGTCACCCGGAGTCCTTGAGGGCGACTGTACCCCACCCCTGGGGTTAAAACGACCTCAAACACCACCCCCCTGAATTTAAAACGTATCCCTACCCCATTTGTCAACTTCAGTACAATCTTCGCACTTTCACCCCCATATTTCTCCACCACCCCCTCCTACTCCTCTTGAATGTCCTACCGGTGGTGGTAGCTAAATCAAACATTTCACTCAACTTTTTTTCTTTTTAACTCAAATTTTCCCGGGAACAACATCACTACCCCGTCTACTTCCCAATCGATGGCGTACCAAGTACCCCACCCTTCAAATGATAGTCATCCACCCCGGTATGTCCCCAGAGAAAATCCATCCCCGTGATACCCACCCAGTCTCTGAGCTGTACTTTGTACCCACTACCCTACCCACCCTCAGATTGGGTCTTCCCGGGAACTAGTGAACTACCACAGTCGCAACGCTGTATCCCACCACCCTACCTAGGACGTTGAGAGTTTCCCTCGAATACCCCCTCTGACTCTGTCATACTACCCGTACTGTTGAAGTACCCTCCGGCCGTCCTCCACCCCATCTTTGCAGCACTCTACCATACCACTCCCGTCGTCCTTCAGTTCAAGTACCCCTACATCATCTAAAAACACCCCACCCCCGGTCAAACTCTTATATATATTATCTACCCCTGACCCAGCGGCATCTCCTCCGACAGATCTTTTCATTCCTCTCCTCTCTCGATGACCCCACCCTTGCATTTAGTACCCACCCTACTCATCCTACACACCCCTCCCAATTCGGTTCACTTATCACTATTGTGTACCCGTCCTATTCAATTTTTTCTGCACCCTACCTACGGCTAGGAATGTCAACCCCCCGGTTAACAATAACCATTCTCATCACGAGGGTGGGGTGAACATTGACAGTACAAGGTTGGGGTGGTTTTTGAGAGAATGAGGTAGGGTAGGGTGGGTCTCTCGGATTAAATTTCCGTAGGAGGACGGGGTCATTGGTCGTACTTGAGTATTCCGATTGTGGGTGGGTGTTGACCTTAGGTAGGGTGAAATTCGATAAGGGGATTAGGGGGTAGGGTGGAGTTGATGACATTGGAGACGGGGTACTTCGGAGATGGGACCAAAAGGGTGGTAGTTCAGCCCAAGACTGGCTTGATTGGTGGAGGGGGGGGGTGAGAAGGGGGGTACGAATAATGTTGTGCTCAGGGGTGGGTTCTACAAATCACCTCCGGGTGAGCAAGTTTAGACCAGGGGTGGTGGTACATGGTTGTAGGTGTCGCAGTGGAATAGGAAATGGGGGGTAGTCCGAGACAGGAATCCATGGGGGGTGGTGAAGTTTTGAGGGTGGATGTACTAAAGATAGGGGGTGGGGTGTCCCGCAAATCACAGGTGGGTAGGTGGAAGGCGTAGGGATAAGGGGGAAGGCGTACAGGTTGGGGGGTCAAATTTTTGGGTGGTTTTCCCCATGATTTCGGTGGTGGGGTGGCAGTGGGATTAGGGTTGGGTGGGGGTAGGGGGTCCAATCCTTGCTATGCAATGGCGCCGAGGGTTCCAATGGAAGGAGCGACGGGGCATGAGTGGAGGGGAGTCGGAAAGAGAAGCTTGTCTTCATGAAACCGTCCCACCTTTCTTACACTCTTCTCCTGCCCTTCTCTCTACTTCTAGAGTCTCCTGGTAGATTGAGCGGGACGAATGTTTGTCTTCGGCTTTGTTGGAATGTAGGTAGTTTCAGGAGTGAGATTCAGAGCAGGTGGATTTGAAACCCGCAAGTAGGAAGGGAGCAATGTTTTAATTGCAATTGGAATTCGATGTCAGACTGTCTCTGGTGCGGGTTTCCGATGATTCCTCTGCCTTTTAACGACAGTCGCGTTCTTATAGCCGTGTTGCATTCTATTTGTAGTTATGAGAATTCTGTCTTCATCTCTGGAGAAATATCGAGAAATATTTGTGATTTTATCTTTGCATAGTCAAACATCGTCTGTCATGATGGTTTTTATAGCATGTCCTACACAAGTTTGATCTAGATTGACATAAGACTCAAAGCTCTGCTCTGCAATAGTTTTCAGCTGAAGGTCCTATTTGTCCTCCTATATGGCGAGCGAGAACTCCTCGAATGCTTGATTTGACACATGTTTTGTTATGCAGATCAGCTGCAGCAACAAAAGAGCTTTCTGTTGCTTCATCCATTCCTGGCAATCTAATTTGTCCAGGGTCAACGCAGTCAAGAGATTATGAGGAATTGTTCTCGATCTTGAACTGTTGATCCAGAAGCAATCTACTGCATTTCTTGTGCATCTATGCCAGGATATTAAGCAAACGAAGTCAGGAGGGATCCGTCGGAGCGTTTCAGTTGATTGTGATAGTAGTATGCTCCACAGGGCGTTGTGAGGTGAATCTGGTGGAAGGTGAACTTCGAGAGTCGTCGAGATTCAGATAGACGCGCTAGCGTCAGATTCTGTGTGGCTTCATCATGGAGACGTTCGGAAACGATTTACTACATGGTCTCTCTGAGATCTCAGCCACGGATAAATCCGTAGTCATTCAAGACAACACAAAGGATAACGGGTACAAGAGCAACGAAAGTTGCGACGTTGTTTGATGACAGGTCCGCAGTTTGCCGAGATCTTTGCAGCAAGATCCAAAGGAGAATCATGATAACCAACCCACAGAAGCGACTTCCCATATGTTTTCGGGCAAAGGTGATCTCCACTTTGCATGCGACCCGTAGACTGATCCAACCCATTGCAACAGATGCCTCATTTCCGGACTCAGGCAATGTGCCCGCAAGCTTCAGTGAAGTGGAGAGCGTAGATGCAGATGAGCTGTCGAGAGGTGTGTGAAAGTCTGATGAGAGGATGAGGAATGGGGTTATGATTGTCCGAGGAATGAGGGTGATGTCAGGAACCAACGTCGATGACGGTTGCGATGGATCCGACAGCAACTCGAGGGATGGCCGTCCAGCTGGGGACACGACCTACAGAAAGTTATTTGTTGGTGGGCTAGCATGGCAGGTGATGGGCAGTGGCAGGGTGAGGTTGAGCCATGACGTCTTGATGTCCAGACAACAACCGAGACCCTGCAAAACCATTTCCATGTCTATGGAGAGCTGCAGGAGGTAATGAAGTTGATGACAGGGAGAGTTCATTGTTGTCTCATTTCAGTTTCTTTTGTGCAGGCGGTTGTCATATGTGACAAAACAACTGGTAGATCGAAAGGATACGGATTTGTAATTATCTCGATGCTTTCCTCTCATCGACTCTGACTGGCCGGTTTTCTTTCCTTTCCAGGTTACATACAAAAGGGATGAAGATGCGCAACGGGCTGTGGCCAACAAATCTCCGATCATGTACGTCAACCCTCTACTTGTTGTGGTCGATGCATTGTGAATCCTTGAGGGTGAAAGAAATCATTCATCATCCCTGGTTACCTTCGCTCCCCCTGTTGTCTTCATTCTGTGTCAGATGAACTATTCCTTCAATGTGATTGGGCCCCTCGCAGAGATGGAAGAAAAACGAACTGCAATTTGGCTGCGCTAGGGGTCAAGAAAGGTATGTAAGATTGCTCTTCGAGCCAACGTCTCAAGCTCCGTTCGTAGAAGGCAAGCGAGGCAAGAGGAATCACAACGGGCATGGGATGGGACAAGAGAGAGCGATGGGTTATCCCAACCCGATGATGCCCAACGATATGAAGTATCTTCCTCCTCCTGCCTTGTCTTCTTCCTCTTGCACTGTCCCTGACCCCTCCCTCCCTCCTCCATCGCTGTGAGCTGACCCAGAGGACTCAGCATGCAGATGATGTATCCTATGTACCTCAGAGACGGCGGCTACCCTGTTCCTCCCTCTTTCGTCGCCCCTGCTGGGCAGGCAGGCTACCCGGGCATGCAGGGATACTACTTCCCTCCCAACTTTGCCTACCCGATGATGATGCCGGGCCATGTAGGACGTCTGAACTGAACTGGCTGTCGATCCCCTGACAGTCTGGCAGTTTCCAGCGCAAGGGTGGAACGGAAACCCCAACATGCAGGGCGGCAACGTGCCGCGGAATCAGCCGGCACCAGGAACGATAGTTTTCCCGGGGATGATGTATCCGAGTGCGTTGGAGCTGTGGGTGAGGTAGTCTGTGACCTGACGCTGCCGCAGACAACGATATGATGTTCAACATGAGCCAACAGCCCCCTTCTGCTCCAGGTGAGGACGATACGGCACATCTAGAGTCTCATGCTGGTCCTGGTCCTGTCAGAGGCTCAGCCGCCGGGAGCAACGATCAACGAGCTGAGCGAGGAGCAGGAGTAGAGCTGGGGATATCAATCGTATCTACTAACACCCAAGATGTCGGCGCAAATTACTGCGAGTAAAAATCGGATGTCACGAGCCCCTTCCAGGCTTCGGGCCTACGAAGATGAAGTAGGTACGTTGGCGCTGGCCACCTCGTACTTGCCGGAGAGATCTGCAGGAGACTTCTCAGCTCAGGCAGAGCGAAATGGGCATGCCTCACAGCTCTGGTAGGGGACAGAAGAGGTCGAGTAACGGCCGGAGGTGTGGATGCTGGAGCTGCGCGAGTGAGCGGCGGAGAGGGGAGGGGAGGGGAAGGGGAACCTGGTGGCGATGGAGCTGGTGTAGCTGGAGAGCTGCGTGGTCAGGCTCTTGATCTGTGACTCGCAGCTGATGTGGCGAGCGCTGCGGAGAGCATGAGGGGGGACAAGGGAACATCGGAAGTCCCAGCTCACCGGAACTGCTCGTACTCGCTCTCGAGCTTGATGCGTCTCTCCCTTTCCTGCCAAGAGGGTCAGCTTGACCCCAGCTCACGAACCAGCCGGCAGAACCTGCTGGAACTGGTTGCTCAACTCGACGTTCTCATGCCGCAGGTTCTCCACCTGGACAGGAATAAGACAGACCTATCAGAAGTAGGGAGGGAAGAGGAGAGGAGAGGAGAGGAGAGGAGATGGAATGGGGTAGGAGGACTCACTTGGCCGGTCAAAGTCCTCACGCGCACTTCTTGCTCACGAAGCTGCAAGGCAACAACGATGATCAGGGAGCGATAGAACTGAACGGAGGAGGTGGGCTGCCTCTGCTCTGGCGGTGGCGAGGTGCGACTCAAGCATGCTCCTGTCAGCAGAGATCTGGGAGATGGTGTCCGAGAGCTCAGAGTTCCTCTGCAGCTCCACTCAGTTCCTTGATGGCTGCGCAAGTCCCCTCCTCCTCCATCCCTCTCTTCCTCCTCCTTTACTCTCCCCCTCCTCACCTTCTCGTACTGGTCGCACTTGTAAATGATGGGCTCCAGCTGCCTGGTCGTTTCTTCGTACTGGCAATGCATGTCAACATTCCCCTCCTTTCACGTGAATCCATCCCTCCCTCTCCCTCTCCCACTCCAATCTCCCGCTACCCCTCCTCCTGCTCAGACCTTGGTGATAGTCTGTAGAGACTGAGCCTGGATCATCTCGCGCTCCTGGAAGACCTGGTTCAACCTGGGTAGGACTGTCATGCACAGAGATGCGACGAGCAGCTGCTACCTGTTGAGAAGATCTGCCTTCTCAGCCTTGAGATTTCCGTTCTCCTGCTGCAGCACCTCCACGCTGGCGATCTGGATCATCATGTTCTTGGTTTGGTCCTCGAGCTCAGCAACACGGATGCGGTAGCGATCCATCTATAGGTCCGCATCAGCGAAACATTGTCCTCCTTCTCCTCCTCCTCCTACCTGGTAGCGGATGGTTCCGTGCTCCTTGCGCAAGGCCTGAAGGTGAGAATCCTGCATGACAGAGTAAGTTGGCGGCGGCGGCAAATGCTCACGTCATGCCATGGGCTCCATGCCGCTCGGCTCCTGCTCAGCAACGAGTCAGAGAAGCCCCGGCTAGCTCAGAACCCCTTGACCTGGTTGACACGGATGGCAGAGCTGCTGGCGTACATGCTGGGGAGAAGGTGAGGAGAGAGGGTCTCGAGTGGGGCACGAGGATAGGAGGAACCTGCCAGTTGACAGAGCGTCTGTGGAGCGGTACATCATGGAGACGTTGCCATACTGGACCTGAGCAGCACGACAGTCAGCCTGACTGCAGCGGACAGAGGCACAAAGTTCTCACCGGCATGGAGACGAACTCTTGCGAGACAGGGATCACTGCAGATCACAAGCATGTCACGAGGGGGGCAGGGCTGCGTGCTGGGTGCAGGTCTTACTGCTGGGCTGAGGGAACATGGCTGACTGAACGTTGTACGCTCCTCCGCCATAGCTGATGACTTGAGGGATGGCGAAAGCGCCAGGGCCCATGGCCTGCAGCTCCTGTCAGATGCCCCGAGCAGCAGGCAGCCTGGACGGTACCTGCGAGCTGACAACCGGCTGGCTCACAAGGATCTGCTGTCCCGACATGACAGGGCTGACAGGAACTGGAGCCTTGCCGGAGGACGGAGGAGAAACAAGCGCGCTGGTAGCATTCACGGCCGGGGACGTGGCAGACGTCAGAGGGACGATGACGGGGGAGCTGCCTGATGCGAGCGATGAGAGGGAGAGGAGCGGACAGGAGTGGACCTTTGGCGGCGTTCAAGGCGGGGGAGTTCTTGGCTGACATCCTGTAGAGCTACATGTCAGAAGGAAGCTTTCAGTTGAGGAAGAGAAGCGTTGAGACAAACACGCAGAGGAAAAGGCAAGAGAATGGATAGAAGAGGGGGAGGAGGGTGCGAGGAGAATGGAATGAGTAGATTAGGAGGTGATACGTTCGGAGAGGATTATGGCAAGAATGCATTAGAATATGTTCACAAGAAATCAGCGCTCCGAGCACCAGCCGTTGAACAGCAATAGGACAGAAGCAAGGCACAAACGCTTCCCTCTCTCCTTTGTATTCTCCTCGAGCCCCCGTCTACTCTCATCATGATTGCAATAGCACCTGTTCTGCGCCAAGTTGTTCTGCCCTGCCCTGCCCTGCCCTGCCCTGCCCTGCCCTGCCCTGCCCTGCCCTGCCCTGCCCTGCCCTGTCCCTGTCTTGTCCTCTGCTAGTGCAGTTCTCTCCTTGAGGTCTCCTCCGGCTCCCCCTCCTCTCCTGGACTTGCGCGTCACAACTTGCCCGGCACGCGGCATTGACTAGACTAGCCGTTATAAGGGCACGCGAACTTGGTACAAAGTTTAGAATACCTTTTAGAGTTTACAATTATTTAAACGTTGAACTGTCCGAGTAATATTTCATAATACTTACACAACATTTCAAAACAAATAAAGAAGAAATCAAATGTCTGCAGGAAGTGGCCTTCAGCATTTCACCAAGGACGATACCAAGAAATATTATTAAATAGTACCATATCTCTATCTTCTCTATTCATCTGTTCACAAACTACGGAAATTAGTACTGGATCATTTCGAATTTATAATATTTATAGTTTAATATAAATATAGATACAGTAATTTTAAAACTCGTCGGATCGCATTGCCGACACGGTGCCACCCGGTTCCCCACCCCACCCCAAGTACTCGAATACAATAGACCCCTACCACCTCTTAATCCCTGTTTTAACCTATTTTATGGGGTTTCTGGTGGTCATTGGCTCACTACCCTACCCCCCATATTGCTCTAACAGTTCCTGGCAGCGCTTCCGGGGGGAAGCGACGCTAAAACTCTCACAAAAGATCAAAATATTTCATAATTACACCTATAATTTCAAATTTGAGAAAGGAATTCGAGGCTCCCGAGAGCAGCATTTCATCTCACTCAGCAAACCCGGGGCCGTGGAGGAACATCAGGCCGCACGGCCCGAGTCTAGGCCCGGATATGAGGGGGATGATCAGTGGATGAGGGGGATGATGAGTGTATGAGGGGGATGATGAGCATGATGAGTGGATGAGGGGGATGAAGAGGAGATGAGGGGGGATGAGGCAGGGAGAAACTCGATGCGATGAGACATGCGGGAGGTAGGAGAGCGGCGAGGAGGGGGAGGGGGAGTAGGTGAGGAGAGAGAGAGAGAGAGAAGAGGAGCGTAGCAGAGCAGAGAATAGTGCAGAGGTGATAGAGAGGGGAGGAGGAGGGGAGCGTCGCGAATAGAAGAGGTGCGGAGTGAGCAGGCACACGAAGAAGGTCTAGTTGCAAGCAGAAGGCTCTCACCATCCGCGAGGAAGCATCGAGGAGGTTCGAGGGCTGAGCATGAACATGAATATGCACTCAAGTGCGATGAGCGGTGGAATGGGTGGAGGACTCGGAGGAGGTATGGGCAACGTGGGCAATGTAGTCAGCGGCATCCACAGCATCGGCCTGCATAGCGGGGGAGGAGGGTTATCGGGAGCGTTTCACAACGGGATGCACGGTGTAGGGAACCTTCAGCATGCATCAGGAGCGAACATCCAGAGCTTCCATGGCTCGGGCTTCGTGGGGAGCTCCAGTGCGGTGCACGGCATGGGCCAAGTCGATATCCCCCACAACCTGTCGAGCATTCTTGATTCGGTGGCTGCCGGGGTTAAACGGCCCACAAGGAAGACTTGGACGGATAGCGAGAAGAAGGCTGTGCTGGAGCTGCTGAGCTTCAACGGGGGGAGTAAGAAGAAGACGCTGGACGCCCTTCAGGCCAAGTACGGAAGCGCCTTCCAAACCATCAGCCTGCAGACCCTCAAGCGATGGCAGAACGCGATGCACCGTGCGGACCTGCAGGCGGCAGAGACGGGCGAGCCGGTGAAGCTGAACAGGAAGAGGGGGAAGAAGACTTGCACCCCCTTCGAAGAGGACCTGTTGAACCGTCTCCTCCAGGAGAACCTGGGCGATGTGTCGCAGATAGCAGGGCACATCCCGTACGCCACCGTCATCAACGCTGCGAACGCTCTGAGAGCTGATCCTGCATGGAGGGAGGATGAGAAGGTCAAGAAGCTCAGGTTCAGCAACACTTGGGTGCGCTCCTTCCTGCTGCGGAACAACCTGAAGCCCCCAGAGACCGTGGAGGTCCCGCGGTATGGAGGTGGGAGGATGGAGGAGAGGGGGAGACTGGCGGGGACGAGGAGGAAGAGGAGCGAGATCAGCAGCGCGAGAGGAAGGCATATGATGGAAGGTTCTCCTCCTCCGTTGCGTGAGCGAGGAGTGAAGATGCGTCGACTAGAGAATCAGGTGTCGGTGCTCAAAATGCAGCTCGAGGAGGAGCGGAGGCGGAACTCGTTGCTAGAGCAGCAGCTGTTCCAGTGCCAGCGAGGAGGAGAAGGCGTGGGGAGGATGGAGAGGTTGTGGAGCGGGCAGGGGATAGGGGGAGTCGCTCCCCAGTGGAGCTCCGACATGATCAACCAGAGACCGATCTGAAGTAGTTTGAGATCCGAACTGAAGTAGTTTGAGATCAGGGGGAGGACAGGAAGCAAGAGAGTAAGCAAGCGAGGAAGACAGGAAGCAAGGAAGCGAGCTGAGAAGGTCGAGGGGAATGAGATGATGCCAACTGTGATCATTTCTTTCTCGTCCATGCACAAGTACAGCATGAGAAGCAGCAGCAGCTACTTACTCTTGTAATGAAGGTTCAACAATAAACATGGAAGAAGCGCAAACGATGTACAAGGAGGGAAGGAAAAGGCGAGGCAAGGTATTTGACGCATGATGCAAACTTGCGAATGACACTGAATAGGATCGAGTGATGGAGAGGGTGGAGGGGGAGGGGGGAGGATTCAGTGAAGGGCAAGGAGATTGAAACGAGAAAGAGAAGGAGGAAGAGCATGGAAGGATGGGA